AAGCCACTCATAGCGCTTGAGACTGTGGAAAGCCTCCAAGCACTCATCTGCTGTGATTGGTGGTCGTCGATTTTAAAAAAGTAACGGAAAAGTTACGAAAAGTTACTTTTTCAAGTAACGGTAACTGTAACGAGTTATTTTTAAAAATTGGTAACTAGTAACTGTAATTAGTTACTTTTTCTACTCGGTAACGAGTAACTGTGTGTACTTTCCAGCAACGGAACACAGTCAAACACTGTGTGACACAGTGTTACACAGTGTCGACTTGTTGTTGGAACGCTGCTTAGCTTTATAATTTCACCGCTTGAGTTCAGGACAGACACTTTATATAACTTGTTACTATATTTTTTTCGGTATATATTCATGGTAAATTTTATAGACAGCGGTTTATAATAATTTAACTAACAAAAACCGAATTGTATCAAGAGATTTGCAAAGTGCAAACATTAATTTAATCAAAATTCTGTATTCATTTAATGTTTTATTTGATTTACCTGTGGAATGTTATAGTAAGTTTTGAAAACAAAAATACGTGGTGCTAAATTATAAACATTGAAAATAAATAAAGCATTTACCACATCGCAAGTTCTTAGTAGCGAAATTTATATATTCGAATTGTTCGTTATTACAAATCGTACGTAGACGTTTCGGCCACCATTTGGCCATCATCAGTAACATATATTAATTAAATAAACATTTTTCTCTCTGATTACAAGTCGAAGTAAAATATTTTGAGGCTGACAGATAAAGATGGATAATAATTGAATAAAAGTTCAATATTTTATTCAATTTTTATTTAATTTTTATTCAATTATTATCTATCTTAAAAGAAAGAAAAAACAGGAACCATCTTTATCTGTCAGCCTCAAAATATTTTACTTCGACTAATCAGAGAGAAAAATGTTTATTTAATTAATATATGTTACTGATGATGGCCAAATGGTGGCCGAAACGTCTACGTACGATATCATTGTAATAATGAACAATTTGAATATATAAATTTCGCTACTAAGAACTTGCGATGTGATAAATGCTTTATTTATTTTCAATGTCGGTATAGTAAGTATTTACAATTTTTTATCTTATTAAGAAAATTAATTAATTTGATTAATCATTTACATAAATTTTATATAGATGAATACGCAAGAAACGACGGCGATTAGTCTTTTAATGGAGAATGTAATAAATACCAGTACAAGTACAAAACAAGAAAATTTAAGTACTAGTGAAACAGACTGGAATAATAGTAGTCTTTCAACCAGTAATACATCTTCAAGCAGCGAAGAAAATGATGATATCTTCTTTCCTTTAATGAAATATTTAATCAGTGGACGTAAAAGACATCGGGTTGAACATTACCTTCACGTTGTGGATAATTGGATTTAGACAGATTTAGAATTTAAGGAGCACTTGCGAATCAATCGCATTATAGCAATTCGATTAATATGTAATATTTAGTTATAAAATAATTTTTTTTTTTTTAACATTAATTCACAATATTGGAAATCTATAATTCTTTATATATTCTAGATGAATTGCATGATAGTGGATATATTCCTTCACATTCATTTGGAGTTAAACCGATTGAAGCAAAACTCTGTTTTCTTGTATTTTTGTGGCATTTAGCGAACACAGAACCTCTACGAACAATATCAGATAGATTTGACATCTCAATTTCATCTGTCTTTCGAGTAATTCGTCGAGTGACAGCTTGGATTTTAACAAAATTAGATGATGTTATCAAATGGCCCGAAGGACAATATGTCGCATATGTTTGTCAAGAATTTTATGCTAAGAGAGGCATTCCAAATGTAATAGGGGCAATTGACTGTACTCATATTAAAATAGAGAAACCTAATGTAGAAAATGCAAGAGATTATTGTAATCGGAAAAGATACTTCTCTGTAAACCTACAAGCTGTTGTAGATTCGAATATGAAATTCACCAACATATTAGGTGTACAAAAAAGTTCTGAGCTTTTTTTTGTATAATTCAATCTTTATTCAAAAACAAACGAAAAAATATTAATCAGCGAAATATTCTCCGTTTGCATCAACGATATTTTGCCATATTTCGGGTAGCTTGCGAATTCCTTGACGATAGAAACTCACCGGCGAAACTTCGAAGCGATAAAGTCATCAATGCATTTTCGTATTTCTTCTAATCTCACGAAATGTGTATCAGCCTAATGATGCTGCAGCGACCGGAATAGGTAGTAATCGGAAGGCGCCATGTCTGGGCTATACGCCGCGTGCTGAAGAAGTTCCCAGCCTAACGCAAAGATATGGTCCTGAGTCGCTTTCGCAACATGTGGTCGAGCATTGTCATGAAGCAAGATCACTTTACGACGTCCTTGGCCAGTAAATGGCCTCGTTTCTTCTAATGCATCGCTCAAATTGGTCAATTGTTGTTGGTAGCAGTCTGCCGTGATTGTTTCATCCGGTTGTAACAACTCGTAGTACAACACACCTTTCCAATC